ATATATAAAGGAAAATAACCAAATATATCCATCAATGGGTACACTTAATTTGGATTAGACTGTCCTTAATCAATTTGTCATTCTTTATCGCTCAATGAACAAGTGATACTCTCTTTTCTGCCAGGATTACATACATGATATTGGTAGTCATTTCTGCCTGGTTCTTTGCTTATTAACGACCTTGTGATTGAATAATATTACAGTGTGATTAGCGAGACATAATACTGGGGAGGTAAAATATTTATGCAGAAAGAGTTACCTCAGTGTTGAAGACTACCTCTGCCCATTTCAATATTGTTCACACTCACCTTGGAAGGATTGGAAATGTTCAGTTAGTCCAATGATGGGTAAGGCACTGAGCTCGGGCTTCATAGCCTGCGGCATGCTAAGCTGCATTGGCTCACTCCTGCAAGAAGTAGAAAATATTGATCTGCTAAAGACATCTTCCCAGCTATTAGGAAAAGCCTCTCTCCAGGTTCTGACAAAGGGTTCAGGGAATAAATCCCTTGCTACACAAGGCTGACAACTGGAGTTTAGCATTTCTTATTCAGGATGGAAGGACAAAACTCTCTCCTGAGAGTTGTCCTAGGTCCCTACCACCTGTGCAATGGTACATGTGCATGCACCTGCACACACATTACCACACACATGAATATAACCCATCCAATCAAAATTAGAAAACATATTATGCACAAGCAATTAAGAAATTTTAATACATGAACTGTATCTGAACTTTCCAAAGGAAACTTGGTCAATTTTATATTCTGTTTCAGGATATCCTGTCTTACACAGAAGGATAAACTCACCATTGTAAGAAGTCATCAAAACCCTGCAAAAAAGAAAAAAAAAAGAAAAACTTAGATTTTCGAAGAAATGGCATACAGTGTGTTTATAAAGTACACACAAATATCAGTCACAAACACATTGGGAATATAAATTTACATGTGAGAATATTGCAAAAAAGTTTTTAACAAAATTTGAATTCTTAATGAAATCATACTGAGTAAAATTTGAGAAGTACATGGGTATTTGAATGTCTGCAAATGTAACATTCCCACAGCTTGAAAACAATGCACAGAGAGAGTTTAACTGAGTGTCATTCAAATGTTTGTTGTCATCCCTGCATGGTGCCTCCTACCAGTCATTCCAGAATTTCTGCATTAGAGGCATGATCATTACTGGCAGTTGGTGCTACTGTGTACCAAAGAATAGGATCGTGTCTCGAAATTCCAACCTCCTAGAGAAGTCTCAAAACCAAACATTGATAAAGAAATAGCTTTCTTTAAAATTGTATACAAAAGACATTAGAGGTAATAGAGTGTGAGAAATAGCAACCCCTGAATTTGGGCTTAAGGACACAAGCTACAAACACAAAAATCGGACATATTTCTTGGGGAAACTATTGACACAATTCCAAAAAGCTTCCTTTTTCTTTTGGTTTCATGAGACAGGGTTTCTCTGCGTAGCTTTCAAGGCTGTCCTGGAACGGGATCTGTAAACCAGGCTGCCCTCGAACTCAAAGAGATGCCCCTACCTTTGCTTTCCAAATGCTGGGATTAAAGGTGGTAACCACAAACACTCCGCCCAAAAAAACCTTCTTTCAAGATTATTATTGAACTTTGTTTCTCCAGATTGCCCTGAAAGGGAAACCCCCTAACACAAATGCAGGGACTATTGAAAGCTATCTTAGTATAACAATCACCAGTATGGGTCTTACACAACAAAGACTTCTGCACTCAACCTTGCTCACCTGGAGAAGTTCCATGTATGGTTTCTGGGACAGTACCATCAGCTTCTCATATATTTCACTTAGTTCCATGCTATTTTGGAGGATGATGGATTTCCTTTCCCTAAGATT